ATTTCTTAACTTGATGCAGCCCAAACAAAACCTAACTTAAACTTCTGTTCCATACATATTTCATGCCGTAATGAGTTTCATTTTGTGATCCAAGTCAACACATCTCGACGTTGTATCATATCTGATATATACATACAGATATATATTCTTACTTGACTTGATTCGACCCAACCCAGCCCAACGAAACTCTAACTTAAACTTAAACTTTTTTTGATATTCCTTTTTATAACGTGTGTTCACTATGATTATCTTTAAAACATTCAATTAAATTTCCATGAAATTTCTTCTATAGTCATTTTTTTGAATTTCCTAGAAAGCGGAATTTACCATCGCATGTTTTTCCTTTGAAACCATCTGGAACTTGTAACCCCAATTTAGCTACACAAGAATAGCTTTTCTTATTATTGACTTTCCTAGTTGCCATTTGCATTTCTCGCCTAGCAAATATGGTTAACTTATGAAAACCACTCCTACGTGGCGCAAAGAGACATTGCAAGAGCTGACGATCGGCATCATAATGAACTAGACAATTGGCTTTGTTTTTCTTATATCCTCGATATTTCATGCTGGCTATGCAGCCTACATCTTGTGGAGCTCGTAGCAGAACTTCGACTAGTTGTCTATTTGAATCAAACGAAACTGTATTAGATTGACAAGGATATAACAGATGAAGACCAAGTTCAAAATAACTCGGATAAACATATGGTAGACGAACGAATTCTTCCATCGAAATAGGAGATATCAATAATTGCCATTGTGAGTTTTCAGGCAAATGACTATAAATCATCTGTTCTGGACGCACAAGAAAGTAAAACGGGTTTAACTGCTTGACATTCTGATTTTTATAGTTTATGTGTCCTTCACCCCAAGTCGGATCGACAAGATACCAATGACCGTCAATACGAACAACGTTCCAAGCATGATCTGTTCGATTAAAAGCTGGTTTCTCCAGTTTATAACCGTATCCTTTGGCGTATCCACTGATTTTCTTGCATTTTAGCTGAACTCCATTACACAGAGCCTTGAAAATTGTAGCAAAATCCTCACAAACTCATTTTCGGTTTTTAAACACATCTTCCGGGGATGAATGTCCAAATACTCCCCAAAAATAAGATTTAAAATCGTACTTAACGTTTTGAGAAACCCAATAGAATACAATCCAAGCTCGATCGATTAAACTCTTGCCGAATGATAACTCATTTATGAGCTTGACGACATCACGAATACTTTTCGCCTTCCAGCTATTAACTGCTGTTCGATAAGCCATATTGTCAATGGCTGCCTGGCGTTGCTGGCAGAACACAGGCGTAAAAGCATTGGGATCAGATGGTACTAAACGTATGTTATCATTCGATACAGTCATTTCAAGCTGAGGTTGTTCGCGTACATTTGTAGGTGTTACTGGTTCCTTCGGATCTGTAATTAGATCACTACTAGATTCCTTTTGAATGGTAATGTTCGGGATTTTGGTTGCATCTTTCGGATTTATTTTGATATCATTTCTTAATTCTTGGTGTTTAAGCACACTTGTCTGTTTTAATATTTTTTCCAGATCCATTTTTAAATCACGTTTAGATAGTTGTTGCATTGGTACTTTTGTAAGTTTTGATGTTATTGTTGAAACTGGTTTGCAAGGGTGTCGGTGTGGCTGTGGCTGTGAGAGTGTAGGCGTCGGGGTGTGACTATGGCTGCCGGTGGATGTGGATGTGTTTGTGGTGGTGTGGATCTGGATCTGGATGTGGGTATGAATGAAGAGAAGTAGTGAATCCACACTCACACCCTCAAACTTCGTAGTGCAGCATTTATCTTTAACGCACGAATATAGCTATTATCTCGATTCATTTTATTACAGAGCACAATAAAGATAAGCTAGCAACTCTATTTGAGACAGCACTTGTAAAATTCCGATAAAATGAGGTAGTTGCAAAAAAAAGCATCATATGCAAAAGATTTATTTGTTTGTCTAAGAAATCATTGAATGGGCAACAAATTGGAGATTATAAACTACTGTCCACCGACTCTGAAGTATTTTAGAAGTAGTGTGAAGCTAGAGAAACAGTTTCGGAGTTCATCACACAAATGAATTACAAAATAATTCAAAAATTTCCATATAACATATGTCAAGAAATGCATATGTATATTTCTTATGAGTTAAGTCTCATGTATCAGGGCCTACCAGCGTCTGCCACGGTCTCCAGGGTCTAGCATGGCCTAGTAGGGTTTGCCACGGTCTACCAGAGTCTTCAGCGTCTACTAGGGTGGGTGTGGGTGTGGGTGTGTGTGGGGTGTGGGTGGGTGGGGTGAGGGTGTGGGCGTGGGTGGGTGGGTGTGAGTGTGGGTGTGAGATGTAAATGTGGGATGTGGGTGTGGTTGGGGTATGGGTGTGGGGTGTGGGTGTGGGTGATTGAGAAACAATAACCTTTACCCACACCCACACCCCACCCCACACCAACACCCCACACCCACATTCCACACCCACACCCCACCCACACCCACACCCTTTACACACATTACCGTAAATTCAGTCTATCATTACTCTTGTAACAGTATAGACTCATAGATTGTTTCAGATTCCATTTTGAATCGAAACGTCTGCCATCTGAAGATCCTATTTGCTCAGGTGAAATGTCGACATCATGGTAGCTTTACACACCCACACCCTCAAGTTCCTCGACTGATGAAGTACGTGCTCAATATAACACAGCCCATAACTGGTCAAAGGAAAAGAAAAATATAGAAAAACTTTTCTAATAGTGTGGGACGGAACATGGCACGATGGCTTCTATTTTCTTGGAATTGAACGGTATGATACCTTTTGAGAAATGAAAAGATGTGTGGGACATTTGTTATAGTGAAGTTTTGTACTTAAATCAACACATCATTTGTTTTTTTATAAATGAGTCGTTGATGATGCGACAGAGTTGGAAGAAAAACTGATTGTGACATGATGTTACCTTTCATGTTTGCAAATATTTGTTTTATTATATCATATTCTTATCTAATTCTTTGCTTGATAGAAATGATTTCCACTACACAATGATGCGCTGTAAGATTTTTTCGGTTTTCATCACAGTTTGTATATGAATAGTGAAAGAAAGAATTGAGATAGACAAATAGAGTAACATATATACGTATCTAATTCAGTAGTTGAACATGTTAGTATACTTTTCACCGAAAGAACAGTAATCTTTAAAAAATTGTAATAGCGGGTGTCCCAAAATATTTGCACACATTTTATTTTGCGTATATCTCAGCATGGAAACCTGATAAAAATTAATCATTCTTTTTTTTAAATATGTGCCATGAGAAGCTCTACAAAAAAAATGTCGGAGCAAATTGCTGTAATATGCACTAATAATTTTTCCAGTATCCAAAAATAAACATCTCCATATTCGTGCTACTTCTCACTATATGGAGCATGATAGAAAGTCTTTAGAAGACCTTTTTTGTTTTGCAATAGGATTTTTTTCATACAGGTTTGTAGAGCTTTCGACGCCGTATTTTTAAAAAAGATTCAAAATTTTTATCAGTTTTACATGCTGAGATATATGCAAAATAAAATGTGTGCAAACATTTTTGGACATCCGGTATCTATATATATAAAGAAGAATGTGTCTGTTTGTCTGTTCGCTATGCAGTCAGTCCCTGTAATAGCTAGCGTCACCAAACTTTCCATGGCACTCTCCTAGATCCAGAGGAAGGTTGAGACGGGATTGGCGCGATTGGGGGAGGAGGTTTTCCACAGTTTTCAAAATTTGGCGGAAATCTATTGAGCTCGATACGTTATTGAAGCACCCACGACTCTATTGAGTGGATCATGTCAAATACAAGCAGAACCAGTGGCGGATCCAGGGGGAGGGGAGAGGCGGTCACACCTTCCTTAGACGAAAAATGTTCACTTTTTCCTAATATAAATGACAGTTTTTCCCCACCGCACCATCTCAGAAAACTTTCTGGATCCACCCCTGAGTAGAACATAGGTATCGTACATTTTATCTCTGTATTATAGTGCATACTGGAAATTCACTAAAAGGATGAATCATATATCGTCATTGGGATTTTCCTATTACACTACATCATGAAATTTTCCTATTACATTATACTAGAAAAAGACCATAGCGACGTCGTTTTCTCTTACGCCAAATATGTGCTATCAAATTATCTCGACCAACATCGGGTACTTCCGCTAGTATCTAATAACATGATAGCTAGCCTTCCTACAGTAGTTTTATAACATTCCAAGAAAGACATAATTCACTAAGCCCATGTTTGCATTTTCTTTTACATACAACTTTCTCGTTAATTGTCCACATTCATTTTTACTGAATAAGTCCTTTCACTATACACTCGATTGCATTTCGACAACAAATACATCAGAACATGTTTCTAAATATTTAATGTATTGACAATTAGATCTACAGAAGCACGTTTTTCCGACTCTGCCAATTAAGAAGTGTTCATTAGAGGGCGACAGGTTCGTTTAATCATTAGACAAGATCTAACGCATGAAAAGATATATTGGATCTCTACATGTTTTAAAATAAGACTTTAAACACACCAGTACCCATCATTTTCTATGTTCTCGGCGAGAATCTCAGCCCTATTGGTCTTATCTTTGTTGAGATCTGGATATAGTTAAAAAGTGACGGAATACTTTTAATACAATTTAGTAATAACAGCTCCCCTTCCTAATTGTCATTCGAGCAATGTGAATATGTAGATTTAAAAATTTTGAGCTGAACACTTGTCTTTAGAATGAAGTCCGACTTTTTCGATTTGTTTTTCGTCTCAGGCAAATACTTTTTGTCGTCTTTCAAGTCAGACTACTAGCTCTCGTCCCTCTTCTTACATTGAATATATACTTTTTCATCGCTCAACTTACCAGATTTTCTATTTTTTATGGTTTTCTTTCGTAATTTTTCTTACAGTCATGTATGATTATTTGAGATACTGTCTCATTGGCAGAACTTTGTTCACTCAATTAAAATTTACATTACAATATGACTTCTGGCCAATTGCAACAAGAACGAAATTTCGAAGAAAACACACTTATTTGGTTAGATAAAGATCTCTATAATTCATATGAAATAAACCAGGTGAAATTAAAACTACGTCAAATAATTAATTATACAAAAATGTTCGAAAATACTGATGAATGCGTAGACTACATATCATCAAATGAAAATGAACAGGTTTATCTTCTTATTTCTGGCTCATTAGCCGATATTTTTGTTCCACTTATCTATCAAATAGAGCAAATTAAAATGATCTATGTTGTTTGTATAAACATCCAATATCATGGTAAATTATCTCAAACATTTGATAAAATTGGTGGCATTTTTACTAATTTAAATATGTTGTATGATGCACTGCGACGAGATATTGTGACTAACAGAACAACAACAACACACTCAATATCTAACTCATCTGCATTATTATTAAGCGCTTTACCTTCACCACCTAGTGATCGTTCGGATCAACAAGAAGCAGCCTTTATGTACTTCCGAATGCTCACTGAAGTTCTTGTTGAATTAGAACACGAAGAGTCGACCAAAAATGAATTCGTTGCGGTCTGTCACTCACAATATCATGGCAACACTCCTGAATTAGAGAAAATCGAAGAATTCAGTCAAAAATATTCTAAAGAACAGGCTGTTTGTTGGTATACACGTGATTCATTTTTGTATCGCATACTGAATAATGCACTACGAATACAGGATATCGATATTTTATTTAAGCTTGGTTTCTTCATTACTGATCTTTATAATCAACTAAAATCATTGCATTCAGAACAATCAAAGTCATTGTTGTTACCATCTGTTGTTTATCGTGGATAATTTATGGCTAAAGATGAATTTGATGATAAAATTAGGAAAAATATTGGTGGTTTTTTGTCAGTGAATAGTTTCTTTTCAACAAGTGCAAATAAACAAGTTGCATTAATGTTTACCGGTAATTCATCATCAAATAGTTTGAATGTAGAATCAGTTTTGTTCGAAATATCTATTGAAATCGAAAAATGTCGGCAACCAATTGCCGACATAAGATATATGAGTTACATGAAAGAAGAAGATGAGATACTCTTTTCAATGGCCACTGTTTTTCGTATTAAATCAGTTCAAAGATTGCATTCTGAAGATTTTTGGACAGTTCGCTTAGTGATGAATGGAGAAGAAGATAAGGAATTAAATAAATTAGCCAATAGTATCAAAAATGAAATTGGCCACTCAAATACTTTGAATACATTCGGTGGTTTATTGATCAAAATGGGAGATTTTCAAAATGCTGAATACTATATGTTAATGTTAATTAAAAACAGTCAATTTAACGATTCAATAACAAAAGCAACGTATTATTCAAATTTGACGTGGATTTATAATGAGCAGATGAATTTCGATAAGGCACTATTATGGGGTGAAAAAGCTCTACAATTACGACCATCTAAGCGCGAGACACTGGCGGGCGTCTACAATAATCTCGGTCTTTCTCATTTGAACAAAGGTAACGTTCTTCAAGCACTCAACTATCTTCACAAAACGGTTGATGTTTACCACGAATTTCTCCCGTCTGATCATCCGAAACTAGTAATTCCTTATATGAATCTAGGTGCATTATATGAAAAACAAGAAAATCATCTTAGTGCTCTAGAATATTTTCTTAAAACAGTTAATATTGTTCAAAATGCTTTGCCAACCAATCATCCAACTGTTGCATTAGCCTACTGTCGCGTCGGAGCTAGTTATATGTACCAAAATAATTTGAATTCAGCATTGTTTTATTTACGTGAATGTTTAAGAATGCAGCAAAGATCGCTACCACCAAAGCATCCAATTCTAGTACATACTTATGCTAATCTTGGTAGAGTTTATTTAAAACAACATAATGATGTAGAAGCGTATGACTCATTTCAAAAGGCATTGGAAATTATTGGTTCATCATTAAATCATCCAGGTCGCTCGATTCTTATGCACCACATAGGTGAAATTCATCAAAAAAAAAATAATCTATCAGAGGCATTAAACTTTTACCATGAAGCTTTGGCTGCTGAAGTAAAATCAACGATACAAAATAATAGACTCATGATACTTATCTACAGCGCTCTTTGCCAGATATATGTTCAACAAGAAAACTGGTCAAAAGTGCTTGACTACGGTCAGAGAGCAATCTGTATTACTCTTACACATGATCATCATCAGCTAGTCACTTTTTATTTTGTCGTTGCTAATGCCTATATGATGAGTGATGATTATGTATCAGCTTCTCGATATTCCGAATTAGCACTCAACATCGGTCATAGTATATTACCCGCAGACCATCCTCGGACTCGTATGCTTGAAGAACAACATCTGATTTTGGAGTTACTCAAGGACAGGGCATACAAGAGTTTCCAAACCAAGGAATAGAAATCGAATACGCTGAACCACCCAAAAACTTTCTCTTTGCGCAGGTTGCTTTTGTAAAAATTACTCTAAAATTTTTTACTTGGTTTTTGAAAAAATACTAGAAAATCTTGACAAGATAATAAATAGAAAATCTTACAGAAACAGAAAGGAATATCATGTAAATTACCGTAAATAGAAATGGGAAAAGAAAGCTTTGTTGTATCTGTGTGTCTTTGGTGTGAGTATTTCCTATTGTTTATATTTTCTTTTATTAACGAAAATTGTTTGTCTTCTAAACCATCATAAGAACTAACAAGATCTGATCGCCTTCAACAGTACGTAACTTTGCATGTAAAACTACTATCCATGTGTAAAAAAATAAATCTTATTTCATTTAATCATACTATTAATTTGATTCATTGAAATACTCGTGGCTACGATTAGAATTGTATTCAATTAATCAACTGTCAAACGGATTTCAAAGTAATCTTGGATGCGAAAACTAAGTATTGCGAAGATTTGAACTTTTTTTCAAAGCAACTTCTATCGATATTGTGACGTTTCATCGCTACTTTTCATTCCGAACGTTCGTTTTCTTCGAAATATGATTACTTTTATGATAACAATATCGGATGTTCGTAAAAATTTTTAACGGGTGTTCGGAACGGCAACGACACGCACATTTCTGCATAAGGAACTGGATAATTTTAACGGATGTTCGCAATAAAAATATAGGGATGTCCGGAACAACGATAAACGGATGTTCGTAAAACTTTACACGGGAGTTCGGAATAAAAACAAAAGTGATGTTCAGAATGGAGATCTGTTTCTTTTATTAGTGCAGCACTTTACTTCCAGTTAACCGATGTTCAAAACACTCTTCCTTTCACAACACTGTACACAGTATGTTAGACACATAGTTACAGATGTGAAAGTGTATACTGAATTACAAACTTATATTCACTTTTACATCAAAATAACTAATATGTTTTTTTTTCGAGCTTTCACTTTCGAGATTCTGAGATCTATTCTTCTTTCTTTCTAACTCCGTTTGAATCCTGTTTGTTTGGTTTCGAACATCCCTATGTTTGTATTCGAACACTAGGTAGTTTCTGTTACAAACATCTACCTTTTGTAACTCTGTCATGTGACATAATTCATTCCGAAGATTCGTTAGATTTTTTTCCGAACATTCGTTGACGGACTAAATGTCATTTCCGAACATCCGGTGTCAAAAAAGGATGTTCGGAATGGCAGCAACGAAACGTCTGGAGACCGTAATATCTAACAATATAAATGTAAAAAAACCGATAATGTTGCTTTTTCGTGAAGAAAGCAAAATTAATGATGAATCATATTGTAATGTCATTCTATGATGAAATACAGCGTCTTATTTATTATATGAGTCAGAAAAATATATTGCAGTAATTACTAAGATATATTTATTTCCAGTA